ACACACACACACACACATATACAACACATACAGGCACATAGGCATAGAGACAGCCCAACGGTTTGATGTGTGCATCTGGCTCGGATCGATCAGACAATGCCAACTGGGTACAGACTGATTGGGGCGAGAGCGAGATGTACGGGTAGACGAGGCAGAGCGCATCTGCCGGGCTGGGATAGCTTGAAGATGCGGTGCAGGCGTGGCTGGACAGACACGATTGCCTGTCCTCCGGCTGAACAGACGAGAACTGGGGTCTTACGTAACACCGAGGGGTAGCCGAGTTGTGGGCGGCGAATGGGCGCCAGCATGGGCCGATCGACCGGTTGCCCACACGGAAACGGGGCGACGATGGTCAATTTTAGCTCATTTCCCTGACGAAACCGGCCTGCCAGGAACTCCAGGCCTGGCAGGCCGTGAGGCAGACTTGGCTCGGATTGGACAACGTGACTGATGCTTTGGCGGAAATCGACCAACCAGAAAAGGACACCGAAAGGAGACCTGACCGGCCCAGTCTCCTGACCAATCGACGGCGAGCAGGCCTCGCCTTAGAGTCGTTGGACCGCACTGTCGAAATCAATAATTTCCTGTCGGTTTGCACCACGCCAAGCCGGGCCATGCCGAACAGAGTGTCGAAAAGAGTCCGTGCCTGAGGCCGATCGGCATATTCCGGCAAGACTCACGAATGCACCGTTTTGCGCCTAGGCTGTAGAAGAGTCGTAGCATGTGCAAACAGATCCCTTCAGCCTGGGCCAGTTTTTTCGGTGCACCGACACGAAAAACGACCAAATAGGGTGCAGGGAAAGTAGGCTAAAACAGGGCTGCGCAAAACGCGAGACTGAAGAATGGAGAAAAACACCCAATTGTCGATAGAAGGACCGCAGTTACCTTCCCATCTAGAGACTTGGTTTGATCATTTTTTCACGACCTGTGCAAGCAAACCATGCTCATTGTTGAAATCATTTCCGTTTCGAGTGAAAGTGTGCCAGCCAGAGACAGGAAAGGGTAGATAAACACAAGCCCTTTTACGCTTAAGGTTGTAGATTGAAGCAAATCATTCGATACATCATGAAAATGCACAGGGCATTATTCAGTGAGTAAACCGAAGCCAACCTGTAGTTTAATGGCTACTTAATTCATTCACGAGTAATGCAGTCTTCATTTTTAGCAAAGCATTTTCTAAACAGATGCAATGAAGTTCCATGAAATTATGCTCGTTTCCAAATATGGCTAATGACAACTAGGCTTTGATGAAGCTCTTGAGATGAAGTTTTTGGGAAGACTTTCAATGAATGAAGAAGAGATTGGAAGTTCGATTTCACCAGAAGACGATGGCCGATTGCCGTTGTACTGCAGAAGTATGATTGTAATATGACGTCTAAGAGACAACTTCTCTCGGTTCGGTTGAAAACGGGCTGAGCTTTCGTCCAGCATATGATGGACATTACCAGAGTTGGAATTAATTGTTGTAAAAGTCTCAAGTTAGCATTGTCCGACTCCATCCTACCTCTTCCATATAATATACTAAAAACGAAAATGTATACACATAGATGTATATAAGATCGTTTGGCTAATTACCTTTCGTTTTGGTTATAGTACATTTACTTGGTAAATATGACCTATAATCGAGACCCAGTTGCCCTGACTTAGGACCGATAATGTGTATAAACGTCATCACAAACACACACTCAAGTGAAAGTGCCATGAATAATATGAAAGAATATCAGCTAAGCCATTCTTTATCTATCTATGTATAAGTATTTTAGTTTTTTAATTGTGCATATATGGAGGAATTGAGATAAAGCTGGACAGTCTTCTTGGTCTGATGATATCTTGAGACTCACAAGAATGAGGCTCAGCTCTGATGATGCCCATCAGAAAGCTATGCTGTTTTCATCCGAAGCGAGGAAGGATGTCTAGTGGATTGCGTCAACCTAAAGGTTGTATTACCTTTCAACGGCTGCAGTACAGCGGAAATCGGCCGTCGTTATCTAGTGAGATCGACCTTCAAATCACTTCTTCATGCACTTTCATTCGAAACGAAAGCCTCCCCAGCACTAATAATTATGGGCTGAGAAGGGATAAACGCTTTATGGAGGAGGCAAGCTTGAGGTCAAAACGGTTGCTTAGAGATATGGATTATTATTCTGCCATTTGGCCGCAAGGATAGATTAAATAATTTCTTGTTCTTCTATTTAGTTTACAATGTAAACATAAAAGCATAATAGTTTTGTAGTTTTTGATGTTTTGGTAATCAGGGCCGGAGTACATATAGGAAACTAGCACGATCTTGTTCAAGCTATTGTTATAAAACAAAAGATGGCATTCTATTTTCAATGATAATTCAAAGTATTATTTGATTAGCAGATACAGACCAGTGGGCTAATGAGCCAGATAAACTCTTGGCTTAATTTAAAACAACATATCATTAATTAGAAAGCTATTATTAGATGCGGACTGTATGAGAAGAAATAAAAAATGAGAAACCTTTTCTCTTGTCCTGACTCTGCTTATCTAACAAGAGAAACTTGATCCAATTTTCGGATAAGACTGTTTATGTTAGAGAGAAGTGTCTCCCTATTCGCCGAATGGTAATTAAAGAGGCTGTAGCAACTATTGGCTTCAAGACTCAGAGATAGTAGAACTCGACATGGGACAAAATGTTCTCAAAGCAGTGGTTTTGCTGGCTATAGCATGTCTGAATCAGGGGGAAGGGCTTCCAAATCGCCAGGCTAGGCATACATCAAATGATGTTAAGTAAGAATGACGCATTGCCAACCGTTCTAACCCTGTGTCTCATAAGTTGATGAAGGAGTGATAGTTACATTTTTCCCATATTTATATGAGTTAGCCTT